CAAAAATAGTCTTAAAAGATATATATTAAGCAATTAAGTTAAATTAATAACCATAAAGTTAATATATTTCAGACATTATCCCAATAACATAGTAAATTAAGGGCAAAATTATTGTTTTTTGTAATAAATAAATTTATTTAAAAACTTGAAAAAATATATAAAATAAGATAAATAATAGAAATACAAGTCAAAAAATATTATAAAATTAAGTTAAATAACGTTTATAAGATAATTAGAAAATTTGTTAAAAATTGTTTAAGTCATGGGAGGTGTTCGTGTATAAAAGAAAATTTTTCTAACTTGTGGAAGGAGTTCACGTATAGATGAAATTTCCTAAGTTGTTGAAGGAGTTCATGTATTAAAGAAAATTTTCCTAAGTTATGGAAGGTGTTCACGTATAGATGTCTTGTATGGAGGAAGCTGTCGGAGGTACATACCTGCAGTTGTACATATATATGGGGTGGTCGGGAGCCCGACTGCCTGAAGTACTGTAGCACAATGACTAGTCCTATATTAGGGACTTATGATCTTAAACTCAATGATACAAAAGCAATACTAAAGAAGGTCTCCATGATGAATTTGCATTACAATAGTAGGGTCGTGGGTTCGAACCCTATATATTAATGACTTATGAAAGTAGGGTCTATGATCCAAAAGCAATACTAAAGAAGGTCTCCATGATGAATTTGCATTACAATGGTAGGGTCGTGGGTTCGAACCCTATATATTAATAACTTATGAAAGTAAGGTCTATGATACAAAAGCAATACTATAGAAGGTCTCTATGATTAATATGCATTACAATAGTAGGGTTGTGGGTTCGAACCCTATATATGAATGACTTATGAAAGTAAGGTCTATGATACAAAAGCATTATTATTGAAGGTCTCCTTGATGCATAAGCATTGTATGGGGTGGTCGGGTGACCGACTGCTCCTAGTACTGTAGCAAAATGACTAGTCCTTATTAGGGACTTGAAAAGGAATATTATGGTGGCGTGTGTGCTGCTTCACGAGCAATTGGTCCGAGGTAAACTTGGACTCGCTAACCGATGTGTCCTAGACATATCATCTTAGTGCCGGTGGTAAGCGGGTTTGTTGTAGCAATACGGCTTTCCCGTGGACATCGCACACCCATACCGTTTGTGGGCGGCGTCGTAGCGCATAGCGATGCGTCGTCTATCTTTCGTATTGGGATGATGAGTGTGTTTGGTAGCACTTTTAAGTGTAGCAGGCATACTATGATACGTTGGTGATATTTTTTATATAACAACAATACCAACTTTGTTACCAAAGTCGATAGGAGTCATGTGGGTGTGTTGTGAGGGGGCGCCACCCGTATGATAGTTGCTTTGATGCTTACTGCTACTTGCGGTATTGCGTCTTGTGATGGATCTGCGGGTGTGCTGCGCCTGATTCGACGCATTTTTGTGGTTCTGGTCGATGGAGGTATACAATTAACATCTTAGTTCCGGTGGTAAGCGGGTTTGTTGTAGGAATACGGCTTTCCCGTGGACATCGCATACCCATACCGTTTGTGGGCGACGTCGTTGCGCATAGCGATGTGTCGTCTATTTTTCGGATGGGGATGATGAGTGTGTTTGGTAGCACTTTTAAGTGTAACAGGCATACTCAACTTCATGTCTTAGTGCATTAGCGCTATGATACATGGAGTTCTGTTCATTGGCGTCTTAGTAGCGTGCTACTATGATACGTTGGTGGTATTTTTTTATACAACAACAATGCAAACTTTGTTACCAAAGTCGATAGGGATCATGTGGGTGTGTTGTGAAGGGGCGCCAACCGTATGATAGTTGCATTGATGCTTACTGCTACTTGCGGTATTGCGTCTTGTGATGGATCTGCGGGTGTGCTGCGTCTGATTCGACGCTCTCTTGTGGTTCTGGTTGATGGAGGTATGCGGGTGGTGATGTCTGCTGGGATGTATGGGGGACCTTGGGATGGTGTAAGCCCGACGATAGTCGTATTGATGCTTGTTGCGTTCTGCAGCATTGCGTCTCTGCGATGGTTGTTTGGTGGGACGCTATTCTCAATGGCGCTCTCTGCGTCTTGGTTTGACTCATACCTAAGTAGCTTTGCCCAAGTCGGGTCCCTTCATTGCGGGGCTGCAGACTGTCTGCCCTCCACGATGTTTTATATAACAACATAATATTATATCTCTGTAACTTTCCCACCTTTGAATGATTGAAGGCAATTTGTTGGTGGGTGAGACAAACATTATCGAAAATGCATTTACTCAACGTCAGTGACACAAACCCTTTCTGATGGCGAATTATTACTCTTATCTTATAACTGCCTTTTGGCTATATCTGCCGTTGTATTGGTTGGTGGAGCATATGTGTCGACCTCATGCGGGTGGTAGCTGGCGGGAGGATCTGAGGAGACTCTCAAGGCTGCGGCCGAAAGCCGCACAACGTGGGACCCCATTCCCTTGAGGTGAGCAGTAGACTCATGACACGCTCTGCGGCTAGTAGCCGTGCTGATCATGCGATTGGTGGTGATGCCATACACTTACATCACGTCTGCAGGAGCGGCGGTCTGGCAGGTGGTGGCGCTCACGGAGGGTTTACGGCCAGTGTGCCTATTTGCCTAAACCGTGTGACCTACATTCACTGTGGCTGGATTCGTTCGTATTCTGTTTGGCGTTTACACGCATTGACATGCGCGACTTCGGTCGATGTTTGTGCTTACGCACTAGCAAGGGGCCAAGCCTCTTTTACTGGTTCGCCAGTTATTTTGCTGTGGACTACGGTCCAGTTCCCGGATTAGCTTTCCCTTCGGGGGGGAGTGCATCAAAATGGTTGGCACTCACCGTGCACGGCGTGTGTGGGGCCGTGTACCTCCCCCTACATTTTTTTTAAATAAATGTAGGAGAGCGAAGCCCTTGTATCGGGTTTTTTGTATAAAATATATTTTGAGCCTTTTCCGAGCGGGAAGGGATAATTAATAATGTAAACCTGATGCAAGTGGAATAGGGACGTTTTATGTTCTTAACCTTTTTTCGAGCGCTGTCTTCGTGAACGGGGTTCACTTAGCTTATAAGGCACTACCAACAGCTTTCAATTGCTCTAGTGAATATTCATTCTTCCAAAGACACCTAAAAGAACTAAGTTACTAAACAAACACAACGTAAATAAGGGTCCTAACCAAGACGATCACGCCAAAATATTACAAACGGCCTATTATTAAACCTTTATAAAGATCATTTAGAAAGATCAAAACATATTTTATTTATCCTGGTCACATATATATAATTTTTAATATAAAGGGGAACTAATTATATTCAATATCATACATATTTTCATATAGAGGGGGGGAGATCGTTACAATAGCATAGTATTTACTCTACGTTTTCTTTACTCTTCGATCGATTTCTTTTTCTGTACAGGATTTTATTGAGATTAGATGTCCGAGGTAAGTATAATCTGTGACATATTCTATAGTTTGAGACTGTATGGATATAGGTATTTCTTCACGATTAGTCATTATTTTCGTTTTGTCCCAGTTAATCTGTAACCCAACGGTCTCACTGTGATGGCTAAGGGACTCTATCATGTCGTTAAGTTTGCGCGGGTCTTCCGACAGCAGTACTATGTCATCCGCAAACCTGAGGTGTGAGAGATACTTGCCATTGATTTTTATTCCCACATCACTCCAATCAAGGTTTCGGAATATGGATTCTAAGACTGCGATGAAAAGCTTTGGGGAGAGCGGATCGCCTTGCTTTACCCCCCTCTAGACTTCAAATGATGGTCCTCTTGAGTCTAGACGTACTCTTGTTGTGCTTCTCAAGTAAATAGCTTTAATAAGTTCTATATAGTCGTGGTCTAGTCCTTGCTGGTTTAAAGCCTGCCATATAGAGTCATGTGAAATTGAATCGAAGGCTTTCGAGTAGTCTATAAAAGCAACGTATAAGGGGGAGGTCATATTCCATAAACCGTTCGATTATTACTTTCAGTGTGTGTATGTGGTCATTGGTAGAGAAATTTTTCATGAATCCCGCTTGCTCTACAGGCTGGTTCTCGTCAATCTTCGTTGTTACACGTCTTAGTAGGGTCGATGCAAATACTTTATACAGACAGGATATAAGACTGATGGGTCTGTAATTAGATATCAGTTTGGAGTCTCCCTTTTTATACAGTAGAACTATCTCCGAGCATGTCCATGTTTCCGGTAGTTCTTTTGTTTTTAAAATACAGTTGAAAAGCTTAGTGAGTGGTTTTATTAGTTTCTCTTTCGCGGCTTTTATCATCTCGTTTGTCACTCCGTCAGGTCCTGGGCTCTTTCCTGCTTTTAGTTTTATTATTGATAGCTCTATCTCTCTTTCTAAAAAAGGTGGTACTGTTTCTTGAACTGGTTTATAATTTTTAGGCATTGGTGTCTCATGATTTTTATTTACACACGTGTAGAGGTTCTTATAAAACTGTGTAGCTATCGTCATTAGGTCTTTCCTATGAGTGACGATGATTCCCGAGGCATTCTGGAGTTGTGTCATGAGATGCTTGGTACTTTCTAACTTTTTATAAGCCTTTTTTATTCCACCTGTCTCTTCTATGAACTTGCTGATTGTATCGAGTCTCCTCTTTTTAATGTTTTGTTTTATTTTTTTATGTATTGTTCTATATAGTTTACTCAGACTTTTCTTTTCTTGCCTAGTTTTGTTTTTCTTGTTTTTTAACATGTGTTTTTGGTTTTTCAGAGTTTCTATTTCTTCTGTCATAATTTCTTTACTTCTTTTCTCAGTTGTATCTTCAGTTCGTTTTTTTGTAGCCTTTTAGTAAAAATGTCTCAATTTTCTTGTTAAATTGGTGCACGCTATCGTTTTCGCAGTCGGACAAGGATGGCAGGTCTTCATTTGTAGTTTCATTGTCTGTATATGCTTTGCCTCGGTAGTGAGCTCGGGATTTTTTATTTTCCACCATATTTAAAGTAATTCTAATCATTCTGTGGTCACTAGGGTGGTGCAATTTGCTCATTACATTAACGTTCGGATATCGCTATAAAATCATGTACTTCTGTATTGTTTTGTTTCTTTACCAGGAATCCAACACCGTTCTCTCCTTTTGTTTCCCCATGAAGAAGATATCTTCCTCTGTCTTCTATTTTATAACCCAGTCTTCTCGCTTCAGCTATACCGATAATGTCCCAATTAATTTGCGATATCGCGTATTCCAATTCAGCTATTCTTGCTTCATTTGCTAATGATCTGAGATTGAATGTAGATATATAATATTTTTTTAGGTTTGGAGGGTGGTCGTCTACAACCCCCGCGGTGACGAGTCGTTCTGGGGGAGGATTTGTAGGTTTTGTGTTTGTCTTTGAAATATAACGTTTGTTTTTTGTTTTAGAGGGTGCGGTGTTTTCATTTTTCTGGAGTTTTCTTGATTGCTATTCATCAGAATCATTTGTTTGAAGAGTAAGGAGTTTCCCCTTCCTCGGGTTTTTTTAGTTGAAATAACATTTTGTTTAGTGAAGAAATTTTTCGTAGAGCTCTGATTTTTTCCCATTTTATATGTTTGAGTTTTATTCTTTTTATTGCTTGTTGTTGTGCGGTGTTCTTGTTTGAATCTATTAACTGGTGGGGAGGGGTTATTTCTAACTCTCTCTTTTTCCTAGTTTTTTCTGTTTCGGTTTTGTTTGTCTTTTCTTCTTCTGTTTCTCTGCTGTCTTTCATGGATGGTTCGCAGGAAGGCTATTTTTCCGGCTTCCTTCTCTTTTTTTAACTGTTCTTGTAACTCTTTACGCGTTTCTAGGATTTGAGGTGGGAAATCTTTTTTTCATATAAATATTTTTCGTTTGTATATATTTCTTATTTTTCAAAATTGTAATCTTCCTGCCGTACGTTGTAAATGTTACGACGATAGGTCTCACTTTGCTTTTTAAGTATTTTCCCATTCTCCGGACCGTCTCTAATTCTTTTCTGTCACATTCCAGCTTAAGCTCGTCTTTAATAGTTTGTAACACGGTTCCTTCCAACTCCTGATATGATTTTTCACCTTCTTGTACCCCAAAGAATATGACATTCCTTTGCCTAATGTGTTTTTCTATGGCACTAATTCTTTTGTCATGTTTGGAGTTAGTTTCCTTAATTATTTCAAGTTCCCTTTGTAAGAAGTTAAAATTTTGGTCTATTTTGTCATTTATTTTGCTCGTGATACTGGTCTCTAAATTCAGCAGTGATTCTTCAGTGTCTCTTTTAATATCTAATCTTAGTTATTTTAAAAGTTTTTCTATTTCCGACATAGTGGCTCCCTCTGTTAACTTTAGGCCGTATTGTATACTTAAGCTCTGTGATGCCCTCAGTGAGTAAGGTGCTGTACTATGTGAACTTTTGGACGTTTTTGTGTAAGTATGCTTTGGAAGTAGTTTCCCTGAGCGGAGACAGATGTCGCTCTTCTTTGCTACTTCTTGTTGTTTAGGTCATCCGTTAGATGTCGTTGTGCGCCGAGTTTCTAATGGATTTTCGTGCTATGGTCTAGGGATGACTTTGACAATTTGATTTTGTAGGTTAGGTTTGCAATTTTTCCGTGTAATTTTAAACGGAAAACTATTTCTTTATTTTTAATGCACAAAGATGATCAAATTTTTAATGTTCACACGATTTTTAAAGCACATCGGCTAGTTTTTCTTTAAAATGTCATTGTCATTCACATCACTTCATCTCTACTTTGTTTTGCAATTTTGTCCTTTATTTTTTGGATTATTCACTTGATAATACTTGTAGTCAGGGTGTCCACTATTCTGCACTGTTTTAACATAAGTTTGTCTAATTTTTGTCGTGATTACACTTTTAAAACTTTAAAATTGACGAGCGTTTAAACAAACAATCTTTACATCACCGCGCCCTCTCTCGGTCCTCTCATCATCCATCATTGTCCTCCATCATTGCGTTCTCGACTCTATTTTCATAGGCGTAAAATAAAAAATCGCACCAAGTAATTACTTGGTTTTCACAAACCAGTCTTCGAATTCGAAGACTGGTTTGTGAAATGAAGTCTTGTTTGAACACAGAACCTTAAACGTTATCATCGACGCAGAATACAAAACGGTATTAGTAAACGGTTCGTCGTCGCAACGCGCACGTTGTAGCTTGCCGGGCTAGGCAAAGTCCAAAACTTTACCTACCCCCTCGGCGATTACAGGTGTATGTAGTATATAGGATCTTTAATAAACTCCAAAAGAGTAAAATGTTATTTATAATTGGGTTATTGGACATTTGCATTATATCTGATGCCACACATACCGGTAACATGAACACAATAATATAGTCTGTGATGTATTGTACAACATTGATAAAATATTCAGTATATGTATTATGGCGCGAACATAGAATAGTAGGTTTGCCATCTATTTTACATTGGTTTACATGGACCTTGAAATAAATAAATATTAATTTTCTTATGAAAAAATACAGAGTAAACAGATTTAGAGAGAGTCATAGATCAGTTTCTGTCGTACTTCTGATGATGGTATTATGTAAGGGAAGAACCTCACAAAATTTTTCTGCCGAGAAATAAAATACGACAGGCCACGCAGGTTGATTCGCAAAAAGAACTGGATAAAGTCCGTAAAATTAACTTTTTTTTTAATTTGGCGTCATTTTCTGAGCTGCCTACGTATTTCCAGGACATGTGATGTCCGCCACCACGCAATGTAGTAGCTCGCCGAATTAATTGCATCATAAATCATAATACCTCACGGAAATGACTTTCCTTTATCAAAGTAGTACTACGAGACATCGTGATGGCAGCGTAAATGAATCCATTATCCCCATTTCGTCCCGTGTTATGACTTCTTATAGAATAGAATAGAACAATTATATATATATATATATATATATATATATATATATATATATATATATATATATATATATATATATATATATATATATATATTCAAATCGGCGATAATAAATGATTAGGATATTGAACGACGAGTGAATGCAGGAAATAAAGTAAATGGAGCTCTACACTCTATTGTGGAAAGTCAGAATGTATCAAAAAAGGCGCGAATGGCAATTTGCAATGCTGTATTAGTACCTACTTTAACGTATGGTAGTGAAAGTTGGGTGTGGCAGAAGAAGCACGAGAGTAGAATAAATGCAGTAGAAATGCGGTCGCTAAGGAGTACCTATGTTAGGGCTGAATCTGAGTGACAGGGTGAGAAACTGTGTGATAAAAGAAGAGTGTGGTTTGCAAGATGATGCGGTGACCAGGATTAAGAAAGAAATGCTTCGGTGGTTTGGTCATGTAGAAAGAATGAATGCGGAAAGGCTGACAAAGCAAATATATGTTGCAGAAGTGAATGGAAGAGTCAGAAAGAGACGTCCTAGGCGGAAGTTTGTCGGCCAAATTGGCGATATACTAAAAATGGTCCAAATTAAGAGTACCCTTTACCGACGAGCATGTATGCGTAGGTATATGGATGTGAAAGAGGCGAGAGAGGTATGTCAGGATCGTGCTAAATGGAAGTCTGTAGTCTCTGCCTACCTCTCTGGGTGACAGGCGTGAGTGTTTATGTATATTCAAATCATACCGCCTACCTGTGACCCTGCGAAGTAACAAATTTAAAGATGCCTACTAAATTTATTGCTTTATTGCAGTTAGTAAAGTAGGCTGCAAATGATTTCTAGTTCTTGTTCTAGTGCCATAGGCTTCTACTCTGTTCACATGTCACGCCCTATTTTTTTCCAGACGGTAAAAGGGTCATACTCAGAAAAAGTGTACATTTTAAATTTTGTAACTAAACTGATATGTAACGATACTGAGAATATTCGTAACGAAACTAATCTCATAGGGTACACATTGAACTAAGTACAAATTATTTTTGAGAGATTGAGCTAATAAAATACTTGTTTGGTTTAATTGGTCCTATTTGTATTAATTGAAATAATATTTAGATCAACTAAAATTATAATTTTCTAAAAAATTAACATCGGTGAATTAGATATAAAACTAGAAATAAATGGTATGTTAACAAATATTAATTTTTTCACACAGTAATACCTCGGTATAAAAAAAAACGTGATGTCGGAGGAATGTTCACGAGATTAAAATGAAGTCTAATAATTTATTAAAATATATCAAAATTTGAGTAATTGTCACTCGCATTATGATTATTATTTTTAAATAAATATATATTATCATGGGTAGGAAAAAATATTTCGAAGACATGTAAAGTTCGCCAACACGCATTGGGGCAGCGCGGCAGACACTTCCTTGCTCTAAACCCTCTCAGAAGTGAGGGGAGGCCTGTGCCCAGCAATGGGACGTATATAGGCTGTAACTTTACTTTTACTTTACTTTATGGGTAGGATCAATCTTATGCACTGACGAGACTCCTGGTGAAGCAAAATTAAAGTATCGTTGATTGTCTGGATGCAATTTCCGATAAAATAGTGACTTTATTTTTGGGTTTATTATATATATACATTACAACAATGTCTGATGTTAGCTAGTTACTTTCTTCATTAATATAGGGACTATTGTCACTTTCAGCATAAACGACTTCTTCATCAGTGTCAGAAGATTCGCAATCAAATGTTATATTCTTTTTACCTCTCTTTGGTGATTTATTCTCTTTTTCTCTTGTTACTTTTTTATATCTGTCAGACGTCAATTCTTGTTTCTGAATATCCTGAATATTAGATGTTCTTTTTAGCTCCATTTCAACACTTTTTTTTCATAATCTTCTTTCTTCCTTAAATTTTTCTGTCATAATATTCTTTCTTCTTCTTTCCTTTTTTTGTAAAATACAACTTTTGTTGAAATAAATACAAATTAGACTAGTTTTACTTATTTATTAATTAAATTGATTTTATTGACTTCGTTGTTTTATTTGCAGTAAAGAAAAAAACTGCTAGAAAAGAGTAAGCACCACAACGGCGTATTATAACGACATATTAAACGTTATTTAAGTAGCGCAATATAACGAAATTGAGAATAAAATCTGAGAAATTGGAACCTCTAAAACAATTTTTACGTAAACCAAGTGTTGCACAAACAAACACCGAGTGTATTCGTTATGATATTACAAAAAATAATAAAAGGATTTAATTAGTAAACAAAAATTATAATAAACTTTCCAAAATAATAGCTGTTTATCACCCTGAGATAGTTTTTTGAGTCCACGGTTGCGACTAACGGCGCCTCTACACGTTGGCCAACACAGTGGCGAATGTAGTGGCCAATAGCATTGGCCAACGTGTAGACGGGGTGTTTGGGCTTCATTGGTATGTATTGGAACGATGGTCCGCAAGTTGGCGCGAGATCCGTGTGGTGTCGGTTTTTTTACAAAAGATCAAAGGATTGTTGGCAGTGTTTGGTCGCCGCGTCCACACGTTGGCCGCGCGTTTAGTTTTCTACAAGCTCCCAGAGTTATAACACGCATCTGATTTAAATTTTATATTCAAGCTTTGTAGGGTGGATGCCCCAATTACCAGCCTTTTAGTGCCAATTTCAACTTTAAACATTCCTAATTTAATTAGCGCGATTTAATTATTATTGAACATTTGTTTTAATCAATAAGCTATTTATGAAAAAAATTAACGTTCTTTGTTACAATCAGATTATTACGAGAACAATTTTAAAATAAAAAAAAATGAAGCACATCGTTTATGCGTGGTAGAACCATGCAATTATATTAGAAGTATAGTTGCAGCACGAAGGTCGGCTCGACCGGGGAAGGACCACGCTCTCACAGAATACCAGCGGCAAATAGTAGCTTAATGATGCTGTGTTTCGTATAGTGAGTGTAGAGAACCAGAGACCCTTTTTAAAGGAAACGAGGCATTTCATCTTAGTCCTCACGAGTGAGAATGCATCTGCATTTTGATTCGTAATCGAGGATAGATGTAGATGTCTGTGGGCCACAATAACCACTTACCATCAGGTGAACTGTGTGCTCGTTTGTCACCCTATCCTATAAAAAAATGTCGATTTCTTATAATTTAATCGTGCAAGTTTTCGAATCATCATCATCATTACAGCTCTTCGCAAGTCCACTACTGAACATCCTCCTCCACAGACTGCCGCAAAGCATGATCCTGAGCCACTTTCCTTGTCATGAGTTTTTCATTTATGTTCTAAGTTAAAATTAGTACCTATTATTAACTCAGTGTTAATTATATTTATTGCTATTGTTTTTTTATTTCTCAAAAAATAATTAAATTACCAAATAAATTATAAGGTGTTCTAATCGATTATAACTCCTTTAACATTAAAATAAGTTAAGTTCTTATTAATGGTATTTATTCCAGTTTATGATGCATGTAAAGAATAAATAAAGTTAATCGTATATCGTATATCTATTTACAGCCCCATTAATATCCACTATTATTTTATAATTCTTTTATAAAAACCTTAACCCCACACTAGGATTTTCTCCCGTATCGCGCAGGTAGTTTACAAACATAAATTGCACAAGGACACACATCCAGACCCGAAACAATTATTTGTAGGACATACAAATATTTGTTCCGTGCGGGATCAAACCCGCGGCGCCCGGCGCAGCCACTCATTGCTGAGCCACTGCGCCACGGTGCTTATAAATTCGTCCACACATTGGCCCAAACCGAAGTAAACTGAACGACCTTCCAACGTGTGGACGCCGTCACCAACTCTCGGCCAATATATTCGCCACTGTGTTGGCCAACGTGTAGAGGCGACATAAAACACAATGGCCGCGGCGGCAAAAATTTTGACGTAGTTACTAGTGTTGATGGAAGAGAAAAACATATTTCTACTATTTTAAATAAATGCGTTCTTAATTTTACTACACGTTACGAAACCTGAGTAACGCAACGTTATAATTTTGGGACATTAATAATTTAATTAAAATAAATTATTTTTTAAATGACTTACGAATGAATTAGGTCGAGTTTAATTGCTTGATTCAGCAAGAGTAATATGGCCATAGCCATGTTAAATAAAGCTTATTAATATTCGTAACAACATGACTCTGAAAAAGTAAAATGGTCACTGGGACGCTAAAAAAATGTTCGTTAGCATTTTTACAAAAAGAATGATCTCAAAAAATTTAATCCTTTACTAAAAATTAAAAATTGAAATACCAAAAAAATTCTTCACATTAATAGACTAATATAACAACAAGGGGAATTGTTTTTTATCATATTTATAAAATTAGATATTTATTAAAGAATGAGTTCGCGGGACAAGAAAAGATAACAAATGTACATCTTTTCTGAGTATAACCCAAAAAAGGTCATCCAGTGGGTATATATTTTTTAATTTAACTACTGGTTATCTTGTTGGTTCTTCCAAGGTAGTTAAATTAAAAAATATATACCTACTGGAAGACCTTCTTTACCGTCTGGAAAAAAATAGGGCGTGACATGTGAACAGAGTAGAAGCCTATGGCACTAGAACAAGAACTAGAAATCATTTGCATCCTACTTTACTAACTGCAATAAAACAATAAATTTAGTATGCATCTTTAGATTTGTTACTTCGCAGGGTCACAGGTAAGTGGTCTGATTTGAATTTCGATAGATTTTAAGCTATTGCATAGCTTCTATCGCGGGCCTTGAGCGCGGGGACCGAATCCAGAAATTCCGTAACGAAAAAAACCTCACGCTCCCCACTCCGACGGGCACGGAGGTGTGGCGTTGAAAGCCGTGCATCGTCTAACGTCGTTTCAGTTCGGCAGACTTCGGCACTCGGCAGACTTCGGCACTCGGCAGACTTCGGCACTCGGCAGACTTCGGCACGGTGTTTGTGTGTGTGCGACTAGACGTATGCGTGTACTAGCTGCTAACTCAATGATAAAAATTCCTAAATAACCTACATGTATTGTAAGATATTAAAAATATTTTAAACAATATTAACTTCTCATTTATTCAATAAGAGAAAAAAAATTGTTTTCTTATCGGTCACCACGCTCAAAAAGTGTAACTTGATTTAATATCAAAGACTTAACTGCATAAATAAAATAAATAAATAATTATAATTGTATAAGTTGATAAAAAAATGCTATGCAATAGCTTTACCGCGGCAGTCACCGAGTGCCACACGTATTTTTTTATTTATTTATTTATTTAATTCTAAATTTTTGTTTTCTTTTATATCAGTTAGTATAAAACAAATAAAGTAGTAAACTTTAATATCAGTGCCATAGGCTTCTACTCCGTTCATATGTTATACTCTATTTTTCTCCAGACGGTAAAAAAGGTCTTCCAGTATATTTACAAAATAATATACTTATTATACAATTATTAGGTAAGTCAACATGTAGGTACACCGATCTTAAGAAAGTAATATCTTGAGAACAAACGCTTAATATTATAGAACCAACGGTGCATGTTACTTGGATAAGGCCCAAAATGGTAAGTTATATTTGTATTCGCTTTTGCTTTTTATAAATTAAGTAAGTACAACATTAATTTGAAATTTAAATGAATATTTTACCCGACTGTACCAGCAGGAGTTGAAGGATGTTTTTCGAGAGAATGTATATAAGTATGCAGTACCTACATCTATTCGGTTAGATAGATTTTAACATATGAGGTGTCGTCAGATGCGTCTTAATTATGGGAGTGACATAGGCTGTATAATATTTATATATTGCATCTGCAAATACAAAAAGGGGGGAGAGGATTTTTCAGTAATTTTTTAACGCAATCGGGATTTTTATTACCGTTTTATTCATTAAGCTTGTTTAATAATTATTCATAAACTCGTGAGTTACACTACGTATTCACTCTGGACTTGATACGGTACGGTGTACATTATAAAATATAATAAATATAACTCGACAACAACGCCATCTATTGGATCCAGACTACGCGATTTTATTTTTTTTGGCACAAAATTGTCAGGTCAGCAATAAGTCAATAAGTCAAGCATCGTATAGGCTATATGCAGTAACCTATGGTGTAGGCGATAGCGACAATGTCATTCTGAAGGCGACTGCAGCAAGGACGGACTGTCCTACTCCTATAAGGAAACATTGAGTAGGTACATGTGTAGTGATGTGTAGTTTGTGGAAGTGTACGATAGCTGGACATTTAACAATTATATATTTATTTATTCTATCTCTATACTCTACACTAAACTAACATAGTTTTAAGTTCTCTGCGAATCAAATATGCTTAAACAACAAAAAAGAAAGGACCGAAATAAAGGTTTATTTATTTTACAGTGAATATTATGACTCATTTTGGGCCATGCGTGTACAATAAGAATTTGTATAATTTCCTAGTATATATTCAATTTACTATAACTTCCCGTTAGCGCCATCTATGGAAACCCGGTTCGTTTGGTGACTGTAGCCCAGAATAAATAATAGTAATACGTAACTGTAGGTAATCTTTTACTGATAACGAGGTATTTCACTTTCGTTCCCAGGGCTTATAACGAATTTGCATTTGATAGATTTAGACGACACCCACCGGATAAAATGGGGTGATAGATATTTTTATGCTGCCACCACAGAGAATTACAGCAACGATTATTTATACAAAGATTGATGTAAGGATATATTTTAGAGTAGAATTTAGGTAAGAGTAATTGAACTGCTTAATGCTTTAGTAAAAGTAAAAAAGTCCAAAGAATTATAATTAAACAACGACATCTACTTGTAGCTATGAAAAACTGTATCCAAAGGAGATGGTATGGGTCTTACATAATTTTGATCACTAAATTCGTATA